TACTAACGGCTGGGGGACCGCGCTTTATTTGAGTCCCCCCAGATAAAGCACTTGCCCTTGAAGTGGAGGGATTGCCCCTCTGCGGGGATTTGGGTTTTTCTTTGTGAATAGGACCTCGGGATTTACATATAAGGCAGTTCGGTGACCTCGCCGACCTCCACCCTGTGAATGGACACAGTGAAGGAGCGGCGGCAGACTGATAAGGTCATCCCTCTGCTCGCTTCTGGCAGCACATACGCGTACAGCACTCCTGATTGGCTGCCAGTCCCCGCCCCTCCCCCTCTACATAAGGGCTCACCCTTTGCGCAAGCGTTTTTTAGTAAATTCCGCCTGCGGCTGCGCAGATAATAATACTTCTTCCAGTCTCTCGGGGGCCGTTTCCAGTCTTCGGGGATGAGCCCCATTCTCTGATATATCGTCTTCCACAGAGTCGAAGAGTCGATGACGTCCCTCCACTGGCTACAGACCGGCCGGCAGCGATGGATCAAGTCCAGGAGGTGGAACTAAAGAGAAAATATCCAGGAGAACATCCTCTGGGAGGAGGGAGATACTCGGCATCCTGCATGCAAAATCAGGGGTCAGGAGTAGGTAACGCATGGAGTACAGGGGTCAGGAGTAGGTAACGCATGGAGTACAGGGGTCAGGAGCAGGTAACGCGTGGAGTACAGGGGTCAGGAGTAGGTAACGCATGCAGTACAGGGGTCAGGAGTAGGTAACGCGTGGAGTACAGGGGTCAGGAGTAGGTAACGCGTGGAGTACAGGGGTCAGGAGTAGGTAACGCGTGGAGTACAGGGGTCAGGAGTAGGTAACACATGGAGTACAGGGGTCAGGAGTAGGTAACGCGTGGAGTACAGGGGTCAGGAGTAGGTAACGCGTGGAGTACAGGGGTCAGGAGTAGGTAACGCATGCAGTACAGGGGTCAGGAGTAGGTAACGCATGGAGTACAGGAGTCAGGAGTAGGTAACGCATGGAGCACAGGGGTCAGGAGTAGGTAACGCATAGAGTACAGGGGTCAGGAGTAGGTAACGCATAGAGTACAGGGGTCAGGAGTAGGTAACGCGTGGAGCACAGGGGTCAGGAGTAGGTAACGCGTGCAGTACATGGGTCAGGAGCAGGTAACGCGTGCAGTAACAGGGGTCAGGAGCAGGCAACGCATGCAGTACAGGGGTCAGGAGCAGGCAACGCATTGATTGCAGGGGTCAGGAGTAGGTCAAGCGTGGAACATTGGAACTACCACGG